CACAGTGAGGCTGGGAAAGTAATATCATTTGAATATATGGTCGGAGCTGCTAGATGCGAAGGTGCTAGTCACGTCATCGAAGACTAGTTTATCTGCGTTACTAGGTTTACGAACAATACTGATGCCGTTTGGTTATTTAGTCCTCTTTTCCTTTTGGGGCCCTTTTGATGACTGTAACCGTTATTTAACTTTGATTTTTGCTATGTAGTCACAGGTATCCTTACTTACCCTCGCTCTATTACACGAGGCAACCCTAATAGCTAGATTTTTAGCGTGGGCATCGCGAGCATAGCCTCACATCAACAATGCGATAATAGAATTTTAGACCACTGAATTAGTGTCAGTAATATTCACTTCGTTTGCGTAACACTTGACTGTAACATCTCCACATGCTTAATGCTTTTCTTTTAAATGGAAACCTGTCGCACAAACAAGACTAAGTTCCGAATCCTCATGATACAGGGGGTGATAATTTTTTTCAAACGTCTCTTTCACCTCAGGCTCTTCTCTCAGAGACACGTTCACGCGCAAAGCGGCAACACGAGAGCCTTGCTCGTCTTTGTGGACGATCAGTGAGTTCGTGTCCCTGCGCTCTACCCGTCTACCGACAGCCTTCCGATCTGCCCGCACTTCGACATGTCCAGTCAGTTTACAAAACTGGGTTCCGACGACAGCTTATTAAGTACATTCATCGACGCAAAAGAGCCGAGAGGGCGAGACTTCGAATTCTCGCCAAGCACTATGCTCGTCATGCACAGGTAAGTAGGGTGGACTTATTTCGGAAAAGCAGAAGCTAAGCGGTTGAAATGACGTCAAATTGTGTGACTTTTTTCGCTACGAATTGCGTTGCCTGACTTTTCTCACAATGGTTCACTCCTTTGTATTTGGTAGGCATTCTTTAAGCGTCATGAAAAGCTAATGAACAGTGCTAAACGGAAGCAGAAAGACGCCAAAAATCGGGAAATATTTGATAAGGCCTTTCCTGAGATGAAGAAGATCCGCGAAGACCAGGGTCAAAAGGACGGTGGAAAATGTGAAGACGGTCACGGTACGCTTACTGTTGCATGCATAATTGGCTAAAATGAAAACCTGTTACCTCCTTTTCAGCTATTAGAACTCTGATCCGACTTATAGTTGCAATAGTTTCCACAGCTTACCTGCGATTCTAGGTAGAGGTCTTTTGCATGCACCCACCCTTTTTTGTTGCATTTCATCATATTTATTGAGATTGCTTTCTCATAAACAGACACCGGTTCTACTGCTGGCTCAAATGGAGTTGATGGTGATCAAGTATACGACCTTGTCGAAGACATTGCCAAGATGAAGGTAGGCTCCCTTCACCTCGACCATATGAACAGCTATTGCCATGGGAAGCGTGGTGCCGTCGTTGTTACTGTTCTTTCGCTTCCAGGAGTACGCTATTGACCCGCCCGTTACTCTTGCACCTTGGGAGAGGTCCTACCATTTTCTCTGCACCGCTCATCGTATTGCTGATCCCAAATCGGAGCATCTGAAAGCTCAATCCTTGGAGAAGTGGTCAAAAGAGGACAGGGCACGTTTTAAGGAGCGCTTCTTGGCCACGCCAAAGAATTTCACTACAATCGCGGCTAGTTTAGACAAGACAGTAGCAGAATGTATTCACTACTATTATCTCAGCAAGAAGTCTGAGGGCTACAAGGCCTTAGTGAAGAAGCACAGCACCTCGCGTCGAAGGCGGACTGGACATTCGGACAAAAATGGGCCTACGGGTCCCTCTCATGGGACTGCTTCAAAGAAAGCACCCTCCAGGGTATCCACCCCTGGTGGAGATGATCATCGGAACTCTCCACATCCTGATATCAAGGTAGTACTTTGTCCGCATAGTTGACTCTTGTGTAATCGATGATGCCTGCCATTTGTTCTTTTGAAGAATGAGGATGGTCACACGGCAGGCCATCGAAAAGGCGGTGGTGGAGGAGGCTCGACTCGAGGTAGGTCGGGTCGTCGTGGTGGAAGTGATCATCGATCCACAAAGGGATCCGGAAGAGGGAGATCGGGAACACCTGTACCCCCGCCAATTCCAACCACATCCTCCAACACTTTAGTTCAGTCTGACAGCGTTGCTACTGACATCAAGCCAACATCAACGGAAATTGATAGACCTCAGAGTTCTACCTCCGGTAGGTGGTGCATATCTAGTCAGGAGTTAGACATTCTCACGTATCTTTATTTTAACGGCATTGTTTGTAGCTTTGAAAATCGAAGATCCTAAAGATAACCAGACGGTCACTGGGAAATTGTTGGATTCAAACTTGACGAAAAATTCAAATGGATCATCGCATTTGATCAAAGACAAGGATGAGGTAAAGGTTTTCAGAGCAACAGATTGTTCTAGCCTTCTCACTCTGTCAGAATGCGAAATGAATTAGTAACATATCTATTGTAGTCGAAAGAAGCATTTCAAGGTGGAACAAAACCAATTGACGAATGTCCTCCATCAGATGGACAGGTCTCATCGGTCCCTTCGTTGGTGTACTTTCATGAACTAATAAAACGGAACGTTGACAAGGCCTACGCATCGGTAAGTCGATAGTTCATACTAGTTCTCTTCCTTTGATAACATAGCGCGTCTTTTTAAATTGGAATAAACCCGAATGTTCAGCGAGGCCCAGAGGCGATGATAACACCAGGAGGAGGAGGAGGAGGAGGAGTACCCACTGGTGCCATGGACCACCGCCACGGTTACGCATCGCCTCATCATCACCCTACCTCTATCACAGATACTGTTGCCTTGGCTCATGGCTCCCCGGCCTCTGGAAACTATTCTCCTCATCCACATCTCGAAGAGTCAGCTATGAATCGACCAGCCTTTTCTGATACTGGTGGTGTCGGCTCTAACCTCATGCCCCCAAAGGGTATGTAGGACTCGATTTTATTCGGGTTGATGATTGTGCTTCATAGGAAGTGAAGAATTAATTTTTTAGAAAGTACTGTATCGAATGTGGTAACTGGTTTCGCATAAACTATTGACTAACGGCCTCCTTAATTCAACCACTGATCATCCTATCCTACCTGTCATTTCTTGTTATCCTCCTCCCTTATGCTGCATTACACCACACAGGAGTTCCACATCCTTACTTTGCTTTCGTCGTTCCTATGTTGTAGATGCCGTTGCAGCCTCCTGTTTGGCAGCCGCTTTACCCGAACATCTTGTCAATTTGGCGAAGGGGGCAGTAGCCGCTGGTAGTATTTCTCCAGAACTGCTCGCCAGCATTCCTCAACTTTCTGCAGTGGTGGCCTCAGGTGCGGTCTACGCAACACCATCCTCTTCTTCCGCTGCCTCTGGTCAGGCTCTAGCACAGGTCCTCACGCAATCAATGGCGCGTGGGGTGAGTTTAAAACGTTCCAATTTGTGTCGAGCATATATGTTTTGTGCCTAAATTCCATATTTACTACAGGGAGGCTCGCAGTCACCAACACAGAGACCATCTCATGACCCCTCTACCCAATTGGCAGATCCAGCTGCGGCTGCCTACAGTAAGGCTATCCTTATTGGCGACTTTTGTACCGCTCAACAACTCTCAAGGGGAAGTACACCCTCTCAACAGACCCAAATTCCCACTTCCGCTAACATGACAGGAACTGGTCTGCAACGCGCTGGTAAGATCCAATGACCATGATTACCTCTGCTATTTTTCCACGTATTATTAGTCCTTGTCCGCTTTTAGCTGACTACACCGATCCTGCCTATCTTAGCAGTCGAACGATCGATCCATTGACCCTACCGTTGCCTACGAAACGCCCTGGTACCGGTGGATCCACTCCGGGTCCTTCTCGTGCCATGGGACATGGGAGTTCTCAAGGCATTTTACGCTCTCCTCCAACGGCCGGTGGCTCCAGTTACCACTATCAATCACCTTCACTTCCTCCATCCCTTTCTAGACACCGTCAAATAGCTTCACATCCACCATCTAGTGAGGTTTTCTACGATTCTGAAAGTGGAGCTATGAACCATCTGTATTACCTTTATTTGATTAAACAATTCTTTTTAGACATTGATGTTGGGGTGCAGCGCCAAAGTGCGGGAAGGTCAATGGGGGCTCCCCAAGTTAGTACTTATGCTCCTCAAATCGGCTACGGAGATGCATCCGTAGCTAAACTCTCTGGGTATTATGACTTATCATCCATCAATCCGTCTAAGGTAAGTAAGGCTGTGCGCTCGTTCTATTTTGACAGGATCGCCGTTTTCGGGCATAAATAAACTTGACTCTCCAAATAATTGTTTGCGCAATTCATATGTTGTTTACCATTTCATTGGGTTACTTCTCCTTTTACTTGAGTACTCTGTCATTACAGCCACTTGTCGTAGTCAAATTTGGCAACATCGAAAAGTAATATTGTTTCGCACAAACTAATATTGAAATGAGGACTATTGCTGGTGTCCAGGCGTCGAATTGTTCTGCTTTCCCATTTGGTGGTTCAAAAAAGGTTCCCAAATTGTAGTCCCTTTGGTTGAGCATAGTTGTAAATGCGTCTTGTAACCGATAAAATTGGATGTCAGTTCTAAAAAGAGCTAAAAATATGGCTCACCTGGTGGTGTGGTCTTGTTATTTTGCAGAATACGGATGAGCTTTGAATGCCTGTTAGTTTCGCTATCAAGCCTTTAGCTCTAGGGTACTTTACATTGCTCTTGTGCTATGCATGGACTAATAATAAGCCATTGAATTTCATTGAACAAAAGGAGCGTTTTTTGTACTCTCTAAGAAGAATAGCGTTGCGTCGATAAACCTGGAATCGGCAGTGGGCTGTCGAGGGAGTGGAGGCTTAGATCCCAAGGTAGAGGAGTATATCAACCACGCAGCAAAGCTCTATCAAGATGAAGTAGAGCGCTATACCTCACGTGATCGCTCTGACTCTATGCGCACTCGTACGAGCAGCGAGACATCGCAACAGATGCACACAGCGCTGGACAATGCGCGTCAACGCGTTCTTGGCATGACTGCTGCTGCTGCCACCGTTGAAAATTCCAGTACGTCCGCAGGCTACACTACCCCCTCTATCTTTGCGAATCCCGTTCCCGCCGAATTGATGGGAGGAATGTTGGATATCAACGAAATGATCGTAAGTTTTTTAGTCTCTTGGTCTGAGTATTTGCTCAGCGGCAACATTTAAACACAATAAGTTTTGTATTTGCTTGAGTGAGTAATGTCTTGATCATTCAACCGAGAATAAATTTGCTATTTGTTGCGTTACTGTTATGACTTTATATAGCAGCGACTCGGAAACGGTTTTTATTGAGGAATCATAAATGAGTGTAGCAGAAATAATACCTGACTTATTGCGCTTGAATAACGATATCTCAAACTCAACTATCGAGTTCAACTGGTATCTTTTATTATCAATATTCGCCTTCTCGTAAAAAAGGAAATATATAAGTACTAGTTGCCCTAGACGGCGGATAGCTAGTAGTAATAGGCTTATGGAAGACGCCCTAGTAAGGGTCTATCTGGGCGCAAAATATGACTTTTGATGAAACCAATAGATTTACTGCTTTCTATACAATGTTTAATGAGTAACGAAATGTTGGTGTAGAGGCCCAAGTTAATTGTTTTTATAGAATTGGATAAACAAGCTTAATGTAACCCTGATTCATTATTTACCTAGCTCGAGCATCCACGATGATTAACAGCCCTCATTACTTAAGGCAAGGTGATTTCTTCCTCTATAGGCCAAACATGGTCCGCAGTATCTTTCACTAATCGCGGCAGCAGCTGTGGAAGCGACTTCTTCCCCCGCAACAATGGCCACATCAACATCGGCGGTGGCAACTGAAGGCATTCCTTTGTTCACCCCCCGTGCATCTAAACCCTCCCTAACGGATAGAAGCGTTCAGCTTCAGCCATTACCACTGCCAACATCCTCAGCATCAGCGTCACAGTTCTCTCCTACTCCATTGCACAATATTCCGCAGCCAATGCCGTTGCCACGCTATCGCAAATCTGCCAGTGGCACCATCAGCAACATCGCTGCCACCACAGTCTCCGTTGGACATCCTCCCTCCTCTTCGTTCAGTTCGCCCGCGCTCTCCTCACAACGTGACTTCTTCCCTGTTCTCTGTGAAGATAACGTCTCCGTCGGTGGTTTCCATCCTCACCACCAACAGCCTCATCGGTATCCAACTCTGATGCGGGCTAGCGCCTCGAGAAATGTATGCTTGTCACCAACAATCTGACATAAGCACTTTACCTGTTTTATCATCATTCTGGCATTTTGACCTGCATTAGTATATCCCTTTTACGAATTTAGTACGTAAACGGGAAATTCCCGGAACTATCTCATAACTGAATCCACCTTTGTTATAATTTATAGTCTAGTTAAAAGATTCTCTTTAGTGTTTTATTTGTTTAATTCAGCTGGAATCTGTTGGCTTGTTACCAGAAGAGTTGGCAAAAAAAGCTTCGGCTGGAGGTTTACGGTCTCACCAGCAGCTCTCTTCATCAACATCACAGCCCCACACAACTACCCCACACACGCCGGCATCAACATCAACATCAAACAACCCCTCCTTGGTCATCTCCTCCTCTTCTGCTACCTCCTCAACTACGTCTGCTGCTCCTAGTTTGACCACTGTCAGTTCTTTCCGACCTTCCGACGTTTCGAACACCGTTGTTACGCTCTCCACATCGTCAATTGCATCTATCGCTTCGGCGAATGCATCTGCCTCCTGCACTGGAACTCTTGGCGATCAAATAGAAAAGGTGGGTGTCTTTCCTGTTGCGCGTTTTTATGAATAGGGATGTAAAGGCTATGTTTTCTTTCACAATCTAGGCAATCACGGATGGGATAATTGTGCAACAGGGTAGTCAGGACACGCAGAGAATTAACCCTTCAACGGCTGAAGCCAAGAGCGTCAAGTCCATTCATCCCACATCCAGTCTCTTGAAGGCTGACGCGGAGAATCAGGGTAAGACACTCTCGAGTTCGTGCTCCACTTTCTCACTCTGTAAGACGAATGGGCTTTCTTGATTGTTTAGACTTATCGCCTCTACTCGTGCCTGGTGCACGCTCTTCGTCAGCGAGTCTGTTAACAAGTCCCTCGCATATTTCTGCATCAGTATTCCCGAAGAAACGAAATCGCCTAACTAGCAGTGGCAGTATTGGTATAGGCCTTGTTCGCCCTGCATCACCCCTTCGATCGCATGAAACGGAGGCATTGACGCCTCAGGCATCGTCAGCAGTCACTACCCCACCGAATGCCTCACCAGCTTCTGCAGAGGGGCGGTCATCGGTTTCTAAGTCTCCTGCTGGTGCTTTTTCTATCTCTATTACTGCAAACGTTTCCGCGACCCCTGGCATCTCTGCTATTTCACCTCCCAGCTCTGCGGAATCGCCTGGCAATTTGCAGATTTGCATACCCGTGAGTGGGATGTATGGACGTGGTGTTTGAGGGTAAATTTCTGACTATTTTACTCATGCAGCCGGAAGACGAGCAGTCCCAGTATTCGCCGACCACACCGAGTGAGGTCGTTCTCGGGAGACCGGGCAGTCTCTCGCGTCAGACATCGAATTCAAAATCTTCAAACATGAGTGCTGTGCCAGCCACAAGTCCTTCCCACATGACCTCAAACAATGAGTCTACGAGTCCAAGACACAATCCCCCATCTCCGTCTTCATCTTCTTCATCATCGACACCGCAACAGCAGCCGCCACAGTCCCCATAGTTCCCTACTTCTTACTCCCCTAGAAAATGATCACCTGCATGTGCTTGTGAGCATCTTTGATTACATCATGCTTTTTTCGATTACGTAGCTCTCTATATACCAGCCTGCCAACGAATGAACAGACCTACGTCCGCCTTGTTAACTGTTTCAATGAGATGCGCAAATCTGCGACGCAGCGCATGCTTATCTGCTTTTTCCTAAACATTGAAAATGAAGGATTGGTCAAGTGACACCAGGTCTTATTTCTGAGTAGTGAATAAAGCTGCATTTACAATGCCTGATGTGGTAATTTGTGGCGGTTTGGCCACTACTCTCTTCTCTTTCTCTTGATGAGGGAGTGGAGCCATGCAGGTGGGAAGGTGTGAGGCGGATTTTGGAATGAGGGAGTCAGTGTAGGGTGTGGTGGTACCAGCTAGTATCGATTTGGCACCAACAGGATGGGGCGCTTGTTTGTTTACGTACGCTCGGTCGGGGCTAGTGAACCAACCACACAGTAGGAGCCTTAAAAGAATAATCAGATAGTTCTAATGGATGTGTCCGAAATATCGAGCAACGATTCCATGTGTCGGGGAGCTATAGAAACTGTCGCCTAGCCTCATGCTCTTGGGCCACAAACTTCAAAGAGAGGGTCAGTTGCAGTAGATTTATCATGCGTTTATTACAGGAAGAACGGGGATAGGAGTACAGATGAGCCGAATAGTAGATATCACTCGAAGAGGGACTCCTCACGGCTCCCGTGCACGAGACTCGCGTTCCAGTTTTTTTAGTTCTCGCCTCTCTTCTATAAAGGTTAAATTAAACACTGGTATACATTACAGAAGCAACTTAAGTTGTTGCAGACTAACCATGATTATGCTTCAGAATTAAGTTGAAAAAATAGCAAATGTTGACAGCGTAGGACATCGACCAAGGGAAAGAACGAATGAGAGGCATAAGAAGTCCACGGAATCCCATAAAGTTGGGCAAAAATAGAAAATTATAACTCCATGTTTAATTGATAATTTTGATGTATAAACAACGATTGGTAATCAACCGGAGTAGTTGTGCACTCAAAACAAGTTTGAAAAGTCGCTGGACACAAGCTTAGCAAAATGGCTTTATCCATGAGACAAGATTTGGGATTTGGTAGATTTTAATAAACACAGTTTAAAATTAAATGAAGTTAATGCTAAGGTAAAAACATGAAAATATTTTGAAAATTTCTTTGATGACTTTTGTGATTGTTCAACGAACTACCGCCTCATTTGAAGATATCTGGCTGCAAATCGTTTGGGGTATGTTTAGACGGAAGGTGGGCAAAGGAGGTAAGGATCACACGGAAAATGAACTTGATCCTTTTCAACTTACTGTCGACACCAGTCACCTGAAGCTTGATGATGCTACTCTCGAAAAAGAACTGGTTTCTATTCTTGGAAGCGACGGAGCTGACGAAGAAGCAGAAGTTGAAGTACCATCTGCTTCTCAACCCAAGGTGTTTTTCTTGACTTGTCCTTTTTAATCTCTGCTTATGCCTTTCTGGGTGTTTCACTTTTTGCTGATTCCATTCCCTCTTTATCTAACTTGCGTAATTCAATGCTACCCCTGCTTTCCTAACGCATCTCATCCTTTTCTCGGTCTCTAACACTAGATGAAAACTGAGTCTTTCCCGTTCGATGACGAGTTTGAGTTGCTACACCAGCTTGAAACGAAATTAGAGGTCAGTGATGGTAATGGTGAACTCGAAATACCATCGATTGGAGCATCCTCGTGTTCTAATGAAGGACCAGTGATTCATAAAAACAAAGCCCTGTCGATTGTTTTGGAACGAAAGGCAGCTCTTGAGAATATTATTACTTCAATGAAATCTTCTAGTGCCTTGACAGATGTTGATAGAGCCTGTTTGCATCGATATGAACAGCTACTGGCCTTCGTAAATTCGATGGCAGAAAAAGCTGAGCTTAACAGTCCTATCGACTTGAGGGATCTCCCTCCTATTCCATCATTATCCTCATCATTTGATTCAGGATCAGTGGTTAGTTAGTCTACACAACTCTAACTATCATTTTCCTCCTTTAGCTTCTTGAAATAGTTCCACCATACCTAGATATTTCATAACTTTGTTTCTTCCCGTATTTTAGACTTCATCACAACGAAAAACAGGGGAAAATATTGTTTTAGATTACATTAATTCAGAGATTTCGAAGTCAAAACCTACTGTCATGTCAGATTCTAACAAAGCGGCTGCTGTTGGGCAACTGAAAGCACGACTCACTGAATATCGGGTGAGTTGTCTTCGATGCAAAAGATGAAAAACAAACTTGGGGGCTGTCGATTCTTTTATTCTAGTGCGCGGCGGCACTAGCCCAAAAGGAGGGCAAGAAGTCTCGTGAAGCAGAGTTAATGGTGGCAGTCAATGCACTTGTTGAGGCGATTCCTCGGATAGAATCTGGTGTAGAAGAATTCGATCCCTCTGACATGCCTCCGCCGCCTGAGCATTTTCATCTGCCTCCTGAGGCTCTGGCTGAGGTTACTGGGGGCATCCAGCAGAGTCCTTCGACTGATCAGTCACCTGTGTCGGCACCCTTAGCAAAAGCCCAACCTTCTGATCCTACTGTTGCTGCTATCGCCAAAGCAGCGTCTTCAACTGTGGCCAGTAAGGAGTCTCTTACTGCTAGAATACAAATTCTTAAGGTAAGCTGGTTCATGCATTAAATTAGGCTATTATTGGAGTTGTCTGAATCATTGTTTTGTAAATAGAAACACAATTTTTGTCTCACTTTGTTTTGGAGATTGCGTTTATGTTTAACGGCATTCATTAGTCTCCTAGATAAACATCTATTGTCGCTATGGCTCTCAATGTCGTATGGTTTCTGTTACTGTTTCATTGTATTAATGAATGGGTGTTTGCTTTAAGTGATTTTGAAGCCTAAATTACCCGTTGTTCGGTGTCATGTGACCTATCCAGAGCGCTTGACGTTGCAAACTTTGAAACATAATGTAGTTATAATCGTCATAATCTAAGAAAGCTTCTTACCGAACTGATTATGACCAATATTTCGATTTTTAAGGTGCTTAAAATCACAGATTCATTGTTCAATATCCAGTACGGCGAAATTATTTAATTGTTAGTGCGAAAACATCTCAGTTTTTATGCCGTACTGAGTCTGTAGTTGGATTGTTATTTGTTAGTGATCCTTTAATCGAATCACAATGAGCTATGGAGTCCTCGGAGAAGCAAGGATTTCGTGTGAGCACCTTTTACTTTGCATTCGCACAATTGATTCAGTAATCAGGTGCTGCTCTGGGCTAATGCGATGTGTTATACTAGCTTTGCTTGGCAAACGTGCAACACATGAATTTGTATCCAATTTCATCTTTATTGGATTAGCAGTCAAGTATAACCGATCGGGTTGGTGTACATTACAACTCCTTTTTTCCTTCTAGGCAATGATTCAAAAAGCAAATGCCTCAGATAAGCGTCTTTACGAGCGGACTCTTCAAGCCTACAACAAAGCGCTGCGTGCCTTCGAGGCGGGTATTCAGTTCAACTACGGTGGACTCAATCCTTTACCTTCTTGTCCGCAGTTCACCTCCTCTGCGTCTTCACCACCGCTTTCCACTGATCTCGCTAGCTCCTCAGCGCTTGGGTCCGCCTCGTCAAGTGAATCTCGAAAACTGGAGTTGTTGCTTAAACGTCAAACGGAGCTGCGTAGGGCGGCGGCCCAAGCCAAGGCACGTGGAGACATGACTGCGGCTCGGGAGTATCTACGGTCCTCCATGGGCATGAACAATATGATTCGCTCGGTGAATGCAGGTCTTCCAATTGATTTGAAGCAGCTTCCCTCTCCTCCTGGTGTGTCTGCGTCTGTAGCTGGCAATTCACAAATGCAACCAATCTTATCAGGTGTTGCTTGTGATCCGCCGGTCGATTTTCAAACAGCCATAGTGACGGCTGGAAATGGTGTGTGAAGACGTATTGCCAGTTTGAATAAGTTGTGATTTCAGAAGATTGTCTGGTTGATTAGAATTAAATGGGTGGTGAAGTTGTGAACGTGTTTATCCTCGATAAGCGTGATTGTAGAATTCCTTTCCTACCTCATCTAGAACCTCATGCTGCTTATCCTTCCTCGATACTTTCCGAATGTTCATAAAAGTTGCATCGTTTTGTAGTTTAGACTGCGAATAGCTAGGCACTACCAGAGGTTGCCCTACGCATTCGCATGAGTTTTGGCTCTTCCGGTTATTTGGAAGATTTGTCCACATTTGTCGATTGTTTGGCATGCCATTTTTCACTAAACTGTATCCAATGGAATCGTTTGTAATCGCTGAACTGTGTAATTTGATTTGACGAAATACTAAAATCGCTAAAACATGGTAAGAATAGACACTTAAAATCAGTATTTGATGCCATCTTTTTTAAATGAGTTGATTTTTTGACAATGTGTACCCTTTGATCTACCGGTGGTTCATTACGAGTCATGCTACTCTAGGTAAAGCAGTAGTTATAATCTACCCTTTTTATATTTTCTCTGTTTAGACCCTATGGCTATCTGTGATAAATTGATAAGTCAGCTGGAAGCCCAAGCAGCTGAAGCCGAGAGTTTGTCCAAAGATCACCGTGAAGCAGGCTTATCGAGTCTTGCTGATAAGTTCTTTGATCTGGCTGACGTCTCGCGCAAGTGGATTGCTCTCACCACTGCCTACAAGCACCGTTCACGGGTTCCCCAGTACGCATTCGAGAAGGCCAACCTTTCTCGACTTAACATAAATACTGACCTGGGTGATGGAGTATTGGAAGTCACAGTGGTTAGAGGAATTTCTCTCCCTGTGCCCTCGTGCCTCAACGGTCCTTCGGCACTCGATACTTACGTCACCCTTGAACTACCTTTTCCATCCTCTGAGTCCCCGCAAAAACACTCCACAGAATGGGCACGCCACACGAATGAACCAACCGACTACGGTGGTTATCAAGCTTCTGCACGCTTCGAGGTGAATCGGAAGGCTAAGTCTTATGAGCGCCTGTTACAGGGTATAAAATCGCTAAAAGCCACAGTGAGTCAAACGTGATTACAGCGAAATATGCTTTCGGTCTATTTACGGTCATATTTTGTGACTCAGGTTTACTATAACCGTGGACTATTGAAGCGACCGGCAGTGTTGGGCACGGTGTCGGCGAAATTAAATGAATTAATGGCAAATGCTACCTACACTGCCTGCTATGATCTGATGGATGGAAGGAAAGCTGTAGGAGGCCTACTTGAATTGCGCTTTAGGCACCGGACACCGCTTCATGTACGGAAATATTACAATTAAAGACTGCATTTATCTTAGTCTGCTAAAATAATTAACTAAAAATTTTATAACCC